ACATTTAGATCATATATCTAACCTAACCTAGAGCACACTTGCATGCTAAATGGAGAAGTATAAGCGTTTGTTATAAATATTATTAAAAATTCAACGCAAAACTTTAGCTAGCCACTTGCAACTTGCACTTTATTAAAGTAAAATTTAATGACCTATAAAACTGCATACCCAAAAATTTTTCTAAAACAAAACAAATTTAATTTTGGTGAAACTTCGGAAAAAAATTAAATATAAAAAAAAACAATTTCACCAAAATTATATTTTTATTAAATTTAAATTTTTTTTCCGTTTTGTGGGAACACTACAACTGTTGTCAACTAGATTTTTTATGTAACATTTACTAACTGGAACAACTGTGCTCTTTGTACAAAAAAAATTTATATAAGTAATTAAGTAAAAATTCAAAAATCAGGCTCAACTAGACCCTTGCGAATTTTATAAGCTTTTAGTAAAGGAAAATGAATCAAATTTAGTGAGAAACAAAGGCTCCAGTGAATTATGAACACTGAATGCCAGTTTGGAACCATTGTGCATTGGTTTGACAACACTTTTAGCAGATGCGAAAATTGCTAGTGCAGCGCGCGCAAGTGGAATGCCTTTGAAAGCGATTTACGTTCTTCCGGTTGCAGTTACACTTTGCAATTTCTAATTTCCGAAAGTGATTTTTACAAATTTGCTAAAATGACTTTTTGGCTGTATACACAGGAAAGGGGATTTTCGCATTGACAGCAAAATGCATAGAAAAAGCGCTTAAATAGCCACATCTAACCTCACTTTAAGTAAAATACAAGAAATGGTAATGATTTGTGCATTGGGCTGGCAAGAAGACATTTCTGAGTTTACTAAAAGATGAGAAAAATCGATTTCTTAAGTTTATTTTACAGTTTCGCTAGTGAAATACCTGTAACCCGATTTACGTGAACTTTAGCTTTATCTGAAGAGCACTTAAATGTGAAATTATCACTGATCATATGCGTGGTTGCCACCTGAGACCCGAAATTACCATTTACTCCTAACACTATAAGTGAAAAGAGTGAAAACCCCAATTTTAAAATTTAGAAAAATAAAAATTTCACTGCCCGAATATACGAACCTCAGATCTCGCGAATGGCACGCCAGTGTTTTGCTCAATCGGCCATTACGACTAGAGACGTGCGAGGGATATCGGGACTCAAGGTACTGATTTCAAAATGGCCATGATGGCAGTTATCAGGAGTCTTTTGAGCCGGACGTCACCAAAATCCCTTTTCGCCACTCCCGATACAACCCGCACCTCCGCAAATTCCGAAAATCTTCCTTAAATACGTTGTATGAAATAAGCGCTTTTTTTATGTTTCATTAAGATTAAAATGAACAGCCAAACAAAAAAATATTTAATCGGAAGATGCTAGATATTTCCTTATTTTTATTATTTAAAATTAAACTGAAAGACATATATGCATTTTTCTTACCACAAGATTTCGGGACCTGCCTTTCCAAAGTATTAGAGAATCAAAGTTAATTTTTAGTTTCGTAATAGTAAGTCAAATACTTTGAGCTATAAAACGCCTAAAATGAAAATTTTAAATTTAATTACGAGTATTGCGTTAAAAACGAAAATGTCTCGAAAATCTCGGAACCTTTACTGAAATGTCCGAAGATCGAATTTCGAAGTTACTTATTTCACGCGTTTAACGGAATCCTTAAAAAATATTTTTCGTACTTAAAAATTTCAGAATTTTTTTCTTGCTAGCCCATCACGGAAATCGCATTCATACACAGATTTCATATTAAATTCCCGATTCTAAAGTAATAGATGACAGCTTTTTACCATTACTGAAATTAAAGAAGATTATGTAAAACTTGGTAACTTAATGAACTACGAAGGATTCTGGAAGTAATACAATCGAATGACGCGGAGGTTCACTCTTCAAATTACTTTAGACTAAGCGACTTGATAAACAAACTCACTATATATACGTACGTTAATATTTATTTAACATTAGTGACTAATAAACATGCTCAATTTCAAATATCAACATTCATATATCTACGATAGTTACTCACACTTTTTTAAATCATCACAGTGCATGCTGATTTATGCAGCCATCTGCTACT